GATTTTCATCTAATCATTTTGGGGCTGCCAAGCTGTGTGTATGGGCCTGTTTTCCTATTTAATAGTATTCTAATCTTCCTACTTTTTTGTAGGAATACCTTGCTCAATAAGGCGAGGGTCTAGGATAGGCAGATCAGCCAAAGGTTCAAAGTGAAATGTTTGGGTTTCTTTAAAAGTGGAAACACAAGGGGGAGCAAGGGGAGAGAAGTTTGCATCAAAAATGGGAATTCCTATCTTGTAAGGACAGTATTATTTGAGTATTATGTAAATCTGTGTAGTGAAAAACATTAGGTACCATTGGGTGTAACAAAATGAAATAAGTGAGAACTAAACCGTGTGGAAATTTCTGGTGGGCCTCAAGAGCTCATCTAGCTTGTTTTCCTGCTGGAGACCAGTAATGAGCGGTGTCCCTCAGGAACTGGTGTTGGGACCGGTCTTGTTTAACATCTTTGTTGCTGACATGGACAGTGGGATTGAGTGCGCCCTCAGCAAGTTTGCCGATGACACCAAGCTGTGTGGTTCGGTTGATACCCTGCAGGGAAGGAATGCCATCCCGAGGGACCTTGACACACTTGTGAGGTGGGCTGATGCCAACCTTATGAGGTTTAACCATGACAAGTGCAAGGTCCTACACCTGGGTCGGAGCAATCCCAGGCACAGCTACAGGTTGGGCAGAGAAGAGATTCAGAGCAGCCCTGCGGAGAAGGACTTGGGGATGCTGGTTGATGAGAAAATGAACATGAGCTGGCTTTAGTGCGTGCTCACAGCACAGAAAGCCAACAGTATCCTGGGCTGCATCAAGAGGAGCGTGACCAGCAGGTTGAAGGAGGTGATCCTGCCCCTCTGCTCTCGTGAGACCTCACTTGGAGCATTGTGTGCAGTTCTGGTGTCCTCAACATAGAAAGGACATGGAACTGTTGGAACAAGTCCAGAAGAGGCCACAGGGATGATCAGGGGCTGGAGCACCTCCTGTATGAAGACAGGCTGAGGAAGTTGGGGCTGTTCAGCCTGGAGAAGAGAAGGCTGCGTGGAGACCTCATAGCAGCCTTCCAGTATCTGAAGGGGACCTATAGGGATGCTGGGGAGGGTCTGTTCATTAGGGACTGTAGTGATAGGACAAGGGGTAACGGGTTCAAACTTAAACAGGGGAAGTTTAGATTGGATGTAAAGAAGAAGTTCTTTACTGTGAGGGTGGTGAGGCCCTGGAATGGGTTGCCCAGGGAGGTTGTGAATGCTCCATCCCTGGCAGTGTTCAAGGACAGGTTGGACAGAGCCTTGGGTGACATGGTTTAGTGTGAGGTGTCCCTGCCCATGGCAGGGGATTGGAACTGGATGATCTGAAGGTCCTTCCCAATCCTAACTGTTCTATGATTCTAATGCAAAGGTAATTGTGAAATATTCATGTCTGGCTCTCAGCTTTTTGAGGAACTCTTTGGATCTTACCTCTGAACAATATTGCTTTGATAGTCCCTCCAGGTTTACTTCAAGCTGAGTCTCTAGGGTGAAGTACCAGTAGATGAGTGAAAAGAAATTCTGAATGGATGGTCATTGGCAGAGAAGCACGCTTCTCTACCTGGGTCACACAAACCCATCTTGGTTGCAAAGGCACATCATTAGGCTGGTTTCTCCTCTGACTTTTGCCTGAGGGGAAGATTACTGATTGATACACAGGTTAAAGCTGACCCAGTGACACTGTTTGTGTGCCTACAGCTACACATATGTTTGTGCTTTGTTGTACTGGGGCCTTAGCCAGCAAGTCCTGTATAGTGCTTTTCATGATATAGATAAGATTCTTGTAAAGTAAAACTTAATAAACACAAAGGATTTCTGCCTGTTCTCTACTAAAACTCTGGTTGTTATATTTTGCACTCTTATTTTGATTTTGCTTTGTTGGTGTAATCTGTGCTCAAGGTGAAAGGGCAAAAAACAGGCAAACGGTCTGCATTTATATCTTATTAGGTTTCACTGACACATTGCAAGTCACTTATCTATTACAAAAAGTAAGGTAACAGAAACCATCCCAAAACAGTAATAACTTTATGGATTTATAAACAATAGTAGCATGTTTGCCAAGATGGCTAGTTGACTGTTTGGACCTGTCTTCTTAGCCTGTCATTTTTATTTTTTTTTTAAGAAAAGAAAACACAAGAGACAAGTTTCCACTCCTAGCACATTGGCAGAAATACAGAAACCCCATTCTTAATGTGATGGGACTCATAAATGGACAACTATTCAACTAAAAACTGTCAAAAGCACTCATTGTACATGCGGCTAAAAGGTTAGACGTTTGAAAGGCATTGCCATGCCAAATATACAGCTATATAGACTGACTTCCCATTAATTTATTTATCAAATAGGTGCAATACAGCACATGTGATGGACTTGATTTTCAATTGCCCTTCTCTAGGTTTAAGCATAAGAACTCAATGACAACCCTTACTTTTGTTGTTGAGTCTCTTTTCCCATGGCTCGCCAGTGTAGAAAATATTTTCTGAAGGCCAAATTCAGTTCTAGATCCTGATCTTACCAGTATGGTTTCAAACCACTAGATCTCTAAAATTCAATGGTTCACACTCACAGGTTTACATTATACACAAATGGTAGGTGAGGATAAGTGATGCTGCAGTCCAGGACCACAGGCGCATATTTCCAGATGCAGTGATGAGTTCCACGTGCTGACCCATCCCAGGTACCCAAGCAGCCTCTGCTTCTGCAGCTAGTCTGTCATTTGATCCAGATTGTCACACTGTATAGAAATGCTTGGGTCTTTGATAGGAAAAAGCTGCTGCTAATTTCAGTGAAGTGATCTAGCATTGAGCTGAGAATATGCTCCCTTGTCTGTTCTGGGATTTGCTTCTGATAAGTGCCTGCCTTTCTCAGTTCACTTTCCATCATACAAGAATAGAAAGTGTTCAATAACTTAAAGAATCAAAGTATGAAGGATGAGAGAGAACCATTAATTTCTCTTGCCTCTTTTTGGTAGAAATGAATGACACTGACTTAAAGAAAATGGGATGTATCTATCCCTGCCATAATTCTGCTGGTTCTAGTAGCTGTAGAGCAGAAGCAAAGCAGTCTTCCTGCCATTAAGGACTAAGTGGTAATAAATGGCTTAACCATAGTTAGCCTTGCTTTCCTCCCTGATACTGAAAAGTCAGTGTGACATTTTACAGTCTATTTCACTGTAAAACTCAAGAGGGAAAGAAATAAGACTATTCCTACCAACTTCTGTATGTTATGACCAGTAGACTGTTACGGTGAGAAGGAAAAAAGAAAGAGGAAACAAATCCCTCTCCCAGACAGCCTGGCAAAGTGATACTGTATTCCAGACAATCCCATTCTGATCCAGGAAGACACCTGCAGTCACTTTCACCTATAGTTTAGTGAAATCATTGCCATACAGCTGAGTTTTTCTGCCATTAAATTAAAAAAGATACTTTATTTTGAAATAGTGTTGGTTCTTGTTCTGTTTGCTTTGGGATTATTTTGTTTGGTTTGTTTCTGGTTTAGGTTTCGGGGTGTTTCTGCTTTTTTGTGACAAACTTTAAAGAAAAAATTGTGTTTTCTGCATACTCATTTTCGGCTGTAAAATAAGTGTAAAACTCATTTTACCTGGAGCTTATGTCAGCTGAGCAATCACTCACTAGCTTACAATATTCTTAAAGTATTAGGTGAGTTGGGTTATAGATGACTCTAAACAGCAGATTTGTATGTTTTGCTGCTACTTAATGGCCTTAATATACAAGAATTAGATTTCAGTGGATTTTTTTTTGGTACTGATGTCTCTGGCCATAGTAGGGAAACAATATCCTGGAAAAATACTTTACAGAAGGATGATGTTCTTCCTTCTCTTCAACAGAATGTGCAGGTCTTGAGTTACGATTCAATTATTTTTCTCTAAGATATATACTTTCATTATCACTTAAGAGTAACTTTGAGCTGAAGTTTTCAGTTAGCTGGTGGGTGGGAGCCCTCGCTCCTTGTTCTTCCTCTCTGTACTGATCTAGCAGCAGAGGAGGACAGAAGCCAGGGCTGTCTCATGGAACCAGCAACCAGTCACCTTTCTGCTTGCTTGGATTTTAGCGCCAGATGGGTCAGAAGCCTGCGCTAGCCATGAGCTATGGAGCACATACATGCCTCATGTCTGTTGTTACACTTAATGCCTCTTCCACTGTATTTTGTGTTAGTCTGTGCACAGTACTGCTCTTTCCTAGCATTTTTTGATTATTAGTTCATCTTAGGGAAAGGTAACAAATGGAACTATAACATTCAAAGAGCTAGACGGAGTTTTATTAAAATAAGTATTTTTATAGTAATAACTTTCTGTGCGTGTGTATATAGTTACTGGGGTGTTGATCTGCTTTTTAAAAACACACTTGTTTATGGGGGTCTGAGAGCTCGCATCCCTAAAAGCAATGCTCAACTTAAAGCAATGCATTATATTTGAACACTGTATGTTTGACAATACATTTCATGCCTCATTTCCTGCCAGTTGTGAGCTCTAGTAAACACAAAGAGCAAATTCACATTTTTCATGTCAAAAAGCCCTACAGTTTGTTCCCTCTAGGATATCACTAGTTAAATAGATTCCTGTAAGGACATACTCTGTTCACACTATAATCTGTTGTGACACTAAATCTTAATCCGTCTTCAAATTTCTATTGTTTTTGTATGAAAAGATTATTTCTAAAATATTTTATATCTCACATTCATTTTCTTTGCTAAGAATTAATTGCATAAGCAGTGGGTATCTGACCACTATTAAGTCTCCTATCGTAACCCAAAATTAAGAATTTAATGTGGATTATTCATAACATCTATCCAGTTAATTCAAAGTAATTTTTCTTTGCACTAGGCAGAATTTACACTTTCTTGAAATGAGCTTTACCTCCCCATGAGACTTTGAAAAGAAGTCAACTTGAGCTTTTCTAAAGGCTTTGGCACACCTATGTCACTACTCTGCTGCAGTGATGAAGGGTTTTATTCTATGTCATCCATAGGTTTCATCCTGCTCTTTCATAAGTGCATGTGACTGCATAAAGGAGGAAAATGAATTGGAGCTCTTTGGCCCTACAAATGGTAAATGGATGTGTGGCCCCGCTACTTAATATAGGTAGGTAGAGAATTCTGTTCTTGTAGCATTTTACACAGACTTGTCATACAAGAGAGTTACTGTGGAAGGCTGGAAGAGTGAAGAATAAGACCTCATATTTCAAGGCTCTGTCTTGTTATTTTAAATTAGCTCAGCAAGGAGCTGTCTGAAGTTTTCTGGCAGTCATAATAAGCTTCTGTGAGAAAGACCTATGATGCTGGAATACCTGGGTTTATATCATGATTGCTCCTCATTAGTATAGAATCGCTCAGGTTAGAGGGCACCTTGGGAGGTCTCTCATCCAACCCCCTGTTTAAAGACAGGAGAAATACTGAGTTCACACCAGTGTTCTCAGGGCTTCTCTCAGTTGGGTCTTCAAATCTTCCAGGGATGGAGATGCCATGACTCTCTGGGTAGAGTATTTCAGTGCTTGATTGTCCTCGCTGAGGAAGAAAGTTTTTCTTGTATCCATACAGAAAATCCTGTTTCGATCTCTTTCTTGTTCTCTTACTGTCTCACCTCAACAAAGAGGCTGGGTCCCTCTGTTCTGCAACTGCTTTGTGGAGTGTTGTAGAGCTGCTGTTATATCAAGATGTATCAATACTAGAGCTAGGTAAGATGTAAGATGCCTGGAGCCATCAGGTTAATTTCTCGCTACTGCATGATGTGGGGTAACAGTAAGAGGAGCAGGCATGTTTGAAAGTTGGATTGGTGGATCCCAAATCTAGACAGGACTGGCCACATACATATAGACTGAAAACTAATGTCTGTCTTAAATTGAATAGTGGAGCTGGGAAATGCTGTTTATCTTCTTGAAACTTGGAATAGCATTCAACAAAAACGAGCCTCGTTAGCTTAAGAGTAACAAACTCCTTCAAATTATTTAATGTGAAGCTGAGCAAGAATTGAATTTATTGGCAAAACGGCAATATTGGTTTAAATGCTGGATCTCTAATATTTTGAAAGTGTGCATTCAGACTGTTTATTCGTGGGACTTGAAAAGCCTCTAACAAATCAGTTTGAAGTAGGCTGCACAGAATGGCAAAATCCTCTTTCAGAAAAGAAATAACTGTAGCTGTATGCAGGCCACAGAAGTCTTTGTTTAAAGCACATTGCTGATTTTTGGATTTTTTTTAACATAAATGCAAGCTAGGATAAAACACATAGCTAAGCAAAAAAGGACCTCTTGGAGTCAGATATTTGTGAATAAAGTGTCGGCTCTAGAAAGGTAATACAAATGATATACAGTTGCTTTGTAGTCGTTGGCTCTTTAATTGAGCAGACTGATGTGTTTCGAGCATAATGGATCTTTGGAGCAGACTGAGAATGAGGTGCTGTTATTTTGTTTCTCTAAGCCACACATTTGAAATGCAGGTGAATATAAACCATTTAAGAAATAATTGGTCTGACCTAGCATTGGTGTAGCCATTTTGGCAGCAGTAAAAGAGGTGTTACTCAGGTGACAGAAGACAATGAGACAGAGATATATAACAATATTTGCTCAGTCTAAAAAAAGTCAGCCTAATGAGAAAAGGAAGAAAAAAGCTACAAAAAAAGTCCTGTCCCTTTTGGTTCTACTTACAGCCTCTGCACATTCTTCTGCTTCATTAGCCAAATTTCAATACCTTTCCATCTTTCCTGATTGTTCTTTAAAAACAATCCCCTCAGTTTAATTTATCATTTCTATCCTTGCTAGTAAAATCCTTATCCGTGACCTAGGCAGCTCAAACCTGGATCACTGCAACTTCCCGGTTTTCCTTGTGCCAGTTCCCTTCTCTTCATGTACCTCTATAAGAACACAACCGATTTCATTTCACGATTTGGCTTGTCTATGACACCCTTTCCTTCAACGAACCCACCAGTATTTACGTTAAATACTATAAAACTGTTTTACTACTTAAAAAATGATGTGAGTTCCCTGGGAAAAAGTTGTTTCTGCAGAGCAGGCAGTTGCTATTAACACTTTAAAATCAAAAGGTCACGCCCAGGTGAATAAAGGTGATCTATGGATATTGAGAACCTAGCTCCACGTAATTCTATATGGGCTTTAAAAGGTATTGTGGAGTTATTATTTAATGTGTTCTCTGTACTGCTGCACATGCAAGCAGCTTCATATAGGCTAAAGGCTTTTATCCGTGGTCTGAGTGGTGTGTTCTGGTGACATAAGGAAAGGGTGAAACAGAAGTCTCTCAAAATCTAGTGAGAATGGGACTTACCAGGAAAGGATGTAGATCTTGGAGACCTTAAGTCAGGTGCATTTATGAAGGAGGAAACTGGCAGGAAAATGTTCCAGTGTGTCAAGTTGTGAGTAATATTCATATTTGTCACAGCAGAGGTCACTGGCTCAACAACAGAAAGAGTTGCATGAAGCAGTGTAAATGATCTTGGCTCCTCCTCATCAGACAATACCTTTTTAGAAACCTGACGAGCATGCAGGCAGTGCAGTGACTGTGGGGAGTACGCCTTCAGACAAGATGCAATCAGAGAAGGTGCAGTTACAAAGTGGTTCTTGCTGATAATTTTACCTGTGGCATCTTCTGCTGATGGACATGGAGATCTTTAAAAGGACAGACAATGGATTGTTTTGGAATCCACCTAGAACGGCTCTGTAATAATTCTACTTGGAGAAATGCTTATCAGGTCCAGGTTGATACACATAGAATTTCAGAGTCACAGAGGGTCAGACTCCTGCCTAATGATTGCTTCATCTAGTCATTAATGCTCCATTGGAGTCACTTGGTTAAATATGAAGTTGGTTTATCAACCCTAGTTGTATTCTTTCCTGGATGACATTTTAAAACACAACAGCCTTCAAAATGTTTGTCTTTTGAATTGTATGTTTGTATGGTATTCTCTGTGAAGCTTAGTGGCTCAGCTGCTTCAGTGTGGCTGGCCAAATTCACCCCTCAGCAAGTGAATGATAGGGTCCTTAGTGTGTGCGCTTAGACACGAACGGTCTAATAGGATGTTACAAGACCTTTTACTTGCCTGTTTTGCTGTCTTACTGGAAGTATGCTTATGAGGGTTATGAAAGTGGAACATGACTTTTAAGAACGAGACTGAAACTTTACAGACTTGATGTAGATTACCGCTTGAAAAACTTCAAGTTTTTAAAGAATCCTTGGGAGTAGATGTAATTGTGCTTTGATACAAGTCAGTGTTTGTGCCGACAAGCAGAGTCTTGACCAGGAGAACATCAACTTATGTTGACACTTTTGAGATCAGGCTTTCATCTGGGGTTTCTGCACACATGTAAATAGGTGCATTTGAATATTTTTTGACTAGATGGCTAATGGACATGGGTGCACAGCTGCTCCCGGTTTGCCTGATTATGGGAGAGACATGATGAGCACAGAAGGCTCCTCTTAGATGGTAAACACAACTGTGGCATGGTAAAAGATTTGCCACTACAAAGTGAAGAACTGTCATTGTCACACAGGAACATTAGTAAGTCCCATTTACACTACTCTCCTTGATCCCGTTAAAGGGCAGTTTGAATAGCAAGCTGGATTCTTTCAATGTTTTGTGTTAATCTAAAAGCAGCACCAAGAGGTGGCATTTAAAATCCTTTCACTCACATTTTTAGGATTCTGTAATACAGAGTTGCTTCCTAACATGTTCAAGGTCTATTAAATAAATGCACTGAAGTATTCCTCTTCCTTCTGATACGGGCTTGTCAAGCTAATCTAATTTCAGTGTCTGCACTTAGAAGGTGTACTATTTTCTCCTTTCAGTGATTTCAAAAAATTAATAATTAAAGTTTCCTATTTTTGCTTAATAATTAGTGCAAATTACTGCACTTTTCTTCCTTTGTGTTTTATAATATTATGGTAATCATTGCTATGTGTACCTGTATGCATGACACATTGAAAACATTTTTGTCAAATCAGTTGAAGAAATTGCTGAGCCAGTACAACCTTGGGTTAGAGAACTTTGTAGGCTAAATTTACTAATAAATCCTGGCATGACGCTTATTGCAAGGATGCCAGCCTGTCAATGGCTTAATCATGGAGCATAATCCTAATATCTCTTTATTGTACTGTGGAAAATGATTGTTCGTGACTGACTGGAGTGTGAGCTTGCTCATTTCCAAAATAAGCTTCCTTCCTGGGTCTGTAAAACGGAATGGTGCTTGTTTACATCCTGCTTCTGTAAGGGGCTGAGCTGCTGTACATGAAAGCACTTGGCATCTCTTAGGAAGGCTCAGCAAGGTCCAAGCCTGACCCTCCTGTATAGACATGATAATCAAAGGTTGATATTTGTCTGAGGTAGGAAGCTCTCTTTGTGTTTTGGATTTTTAACTCACCTCTGTAAAAAATACAGCACTGAAAATATCCCCCCTTCCTCTTCGAGAGAATGCTAATGGATGGATGCTTTGCCTTCCCTTTCCTCCAAGCTCTGGGTTTGTGATGCATTTATCTCTTAGAAGTAAATAAATTCTGCCTCTTCAGAAAATATCACAGTTCATTTCCTTAATTCCTGTGGAAGGTAGGACAGTTAGTCAAGACAGTTGGCTCAAGTAATCAGTGCTGAGGGTTTTCACTTCTGTATTCTGAGGAATGGTCGGTAAGAAAGGATTAACCAACAGAGAAATCTCCTCGTACGAAATTTGATGGGATTCATGCTCATATGTTAGCCTTTGCTTTGCAGTACAGAGCAGGGCCACTGCAGTGCCTTTTCTCCACTTAAATTGTGATTCAACACTTAGTACACAGACCCTGAGCTTCCTCTGAAGAGCGGCTGCTCTGGGTGCTGCTCTGGGTGGGTATGTGGGAGAAGGGCTCTGTGCAGCACCACAGGGGCTCGGTCAAGCACAAGCAGGAGGCTTAGAACAGTTTGGTTCTTGAAAATAGAATCCAGCCACAGCCTGGGGTTTAGTTTTCCTTGCTGGGATTGAGTGGTGCTTGATGTGCGCCATTCACTGGGGGTGAGACAGTGCTGCTTTGTGCTCAGTCACTTGCCTCTGATTAAAAAGAATAGAAAGAAACAAGCTTGCACAAGTTGCTTTACACACTTTGGTAAGGTGACTTTCCACTAATATGTACTTGACCAATGCCTAACATTAAAAATCCTTTAAAATATTGTAACACACTAATAGATATGACTGCTTACAGCCTTTAAATTTACTCTTTTTTTGCTTGCGAGTTTTCAGATACTTACTCTTTGTGAATATAGTCAAGCTATAAAATCCTAAAGCTGGCTACTGACGTTGAACATTATATTCTCTATTTTTCAAATGGACCTGTGCAGTCAGGAAAGCTTCTGCAGAGAAAATGTATCAACTCAGGTTGGTCAATTTGTGGTTATTGAGTGACTATGTGTAAACACTGTTTATAAACTATTAATGAAATTCACAGGAGAACTAAGTGTAATGGCAGGTCAGGGAAGAAAAGGTGGGAGGAGAATGGGTCTGAGTATGTAAACTTTCTTTTAAAGTGGCATTTATTAAAATCAGTATCAGTGATAAATCAGGATACAACACAGCTGCCCTTTTAAATCACTTCCTATGAAAATTAGACCTGACTTGAATTGCTGGAGATAAGTGATGAGAATTTAGCCCATGCTGACCCCCTACAGCTTGATGTTTTTTCCTTGTTTATTTTAGCTTTCCTGATACCTTGATCAGTTGCTACTTTGGTACAAATGGGTTTCTGAAAGAAAACTTTAATTATCAGATGGGTGGTGGATGAAACAAATCAGCTCCTGCTTCTGAAATTTGTGCGCATGGATCTTGGAGATCCTTCTATTCGAGATGCTCTAGTTTATTCATAAAAATAGATGTTCTAAGTATGTGGATTTGTGGTGTAATCGCCCTACAAAGTTGATCAAAATATTTACAGGGTTTGGTGGAGTGAATCAGTGGAGTGAAACTTAGCTTGGATATTTAGGGAAATTTACTGGGGAAAACTCTTGAAAAATTATGGCTTTGCGTGAGTACGCTCAGTTAATCCCTTCGTATTTCTCTTCTTGCATAAGAGCTGCAAATCAGTGAAAATGTAATGGCAGTAAACTTTCTTTTCCTATTAAAAAACCTAATTTTGTTTAGATGCTCTCTTTACAGTGTTTCTCAGCCTCTATTTGGAGTCTTAAGTAATACTGATGTAATGATGAGTTTTCATAGCAACAGTGTACTAGGTATGAACAAAATCTGTTACTGGATATCAGATTAGAACACTTTCTAGAAAGGGCAGAAATTTCAGAAGTGGTTTTGTAGTAAGTGTTGAGACAGAAGTGTTTCTGCTTCAATGGGTTAGTCTTCTGTAGGAATAACCTTCAGTAAACTGCTCCATAAATGCCCTTTTTCTAGGAAGTGCAGTTGAGCTCTCTGCCTCCCCCTTCTGATGCTCACAGCAAGGAAGGACAGGCTGGTTGGAAGTGGGAGGGGACATTTGTGTTTATTCTTTTCCTAAAAGCACTGGTTCCCAGGGCAAGAGTTCTGGCCACTTTCATCAGTGGCGAGTTGCTGTCTACCAGGTTTGCCACCCCTCCCAGGCCAGGGGGATGCGACAGGTACTCCATTGGTCTGGATATTTTTGTATGCATGTACAGTTCATTACAAGTCTTCAGCAGAATTAAGTGTTTGTATTGTCATATTGTCTAGGAGCACAGATGGTCTTGCTATTAAAGCTCAAGACTGAGAGCCAGGTGGTCTCAGTACTACTTCCAAGCTCTGCCACAAACTTGACATGTGGCTCTGGGCAAATCAGTTGAACACTCTGTGCTTCTGTTTTCCCACTGGTACAGTAGGTACAGTGATTACCTGCCTGATATACAGTATTTTGTGATTTAGTGCCTTATGAAGTATTTGGAGATCTTCAGTTGCAAGCTGATGCAGAACTGCTGAGCTTTGTTGATGTAGTATAGAGATTAGGAAGAGAAATTCCCTTATCTTCTTTCCTTAAATCTGACAATTATGTCAGAATCTCCAAAGTCACAGCTGTCTTGAATTAGAAAAGGCAGCAAGTAGGAAAATAATCTATATGTAAAACTTCCAAGGTAGTCAGTTTATCTCTGTTCCCATAAAATCAGGAGGAATCTTGCCTTAAAAGCAGCCCCAGTGTTTTGAGTTAGCTGTAAAATAATAAACTTGAATAAAATACTGTATATAGCATATGGGTTCAGTACACCACATAAAACTGGTAAAATTCTACTGACTATTTGTAAAGAATACCTGTATGTGCAGCAATAGGTTGGGGTTTTGACAGAGGCTGATTACAGTATGGTGCAGTGTTCTGGTTTATAATCACCCACTGATAAATCTTGGAGACCCCTTTTTAAGATGTTTAGGAATTCAAGGTTCAAGTTTATATGTGCACCTACCTCTGTGCCTGTTTTGTGTCCAGTAGTAATTATCTGGCAGTCATGTGCAAACGCACATAAAGAGATAAAACAAGTATTTTCAGAAAAAAGCCAAATTTGTATATGCGTACTCCATAAATGAGCACTTGAAATAGGCACAGAAAATGCACACCGATGTCAGACCTCCTCTCTCTGAAAAATCCACCCTTTAAGACAAACATCTGATTTGCAAATGAGATGCAAGATAGGTTCTTATTAAATAGTTAAATATCAAGGTTTGAATTTTCATAAAAGGGCAATTTCAAACCTCATTTGTGTGTGTAATTATTGTGCTTGTGAGAGCAACCCTGGTAAACGTGCACATAAATGTCATGTCAGGTTTATAATGGGTCATTGACACGCTCCCTTCCCACAATTGGGTCTGTGGTCTCTGCACGGAGATAGAGCTAAGGGAATATGTAAAACGGGTGCAAAAATCTGGCAGAAACAGTTTTCTTTCTTGCTGAAAAGAGCAGCAAAGCTTTGTGTACACATCGGCATATTCTCAAGATGGAGTTGCAGCTCTGGGGTCTAAACAAACTGAATCAGTTTTTAAAATAACAGTGCATACTAAACCTTAGAAATTCAAATACAGCATTTTCCAAGGCTAAAGATTTGGCAAATGCACTCTTGTAAGGCTGTTGTCACTTCCTCTTTCGAGAAGGTTTAGAGAAACTTCTCATTCCTTTTTTTTTTCATGCTGGGATTTTTTTTTTTTATCGTCCAAAAGCTGTGAAATACTTGAAATCTGAGGCCGCTGCTATCAGATAACACACTTTAAGACTCTACATTAAAGAATCTCCCACATGCTTGTTCTCAGGCTTGAGATATGAACATGCCTAAAACAACCTTGGGTCACACTGGATTGGGCTGTGCAGACTGATCTGAAAATATTTACCCTGCACTATGAGAAATTAGAGGAAATACAGCCCAGAATTCAATGGTGGAATCTGCTGCCAATATGCAGCTGAGGTCAGGAGCAGCAAGATTCAGACAGGAATTTTGTGGTTATGTGTAAATCATGAATACTTAAGAGTTAATGTGGTTGATTCTAAGGATCAGAATATGGGAAGGAGGGGGAAGTTAATTTTTTAACATTCGTTAAAATTCAGGGTGACATCTTGTGGGCAGGGAGGTGTAAATTATGTGTAAGTTGTGGTGTTTCACCTTCCTTTGGTTGCTGGCACGGGAGGAATTCAGGACTGTACAGCCCATGCATGGGTCAGAGCCAGTGCAGTGATTCTCATGCCTCTAAATTAATCTTAATCACACAGTAATATATATCTATCTTGTATCTGAATGATCTCTCTACAAAGGTGGAGGGTTTTGGTGATTGTGCTTTTGTGGAGAAGGAATAAATAGCTTCATGAGATGGCAGTGTGGGAGGAGGGACAGCAGGTATCGGTCTCCTGCAAGAAGCAAGGTAAAATATCAGGGTGAACAAAAGTAGCAGCAGAAGGCAGGATACAGAACATGCTGACAGATATCGGTCAAGAGTCAGAACCCAAGGCTAGGACTTGAATAGACTCAGGAGAAGCAGGCAGGAGGCCAGGCAATGAATAAAAATTAGCATGCCCCATACTGCTCTCCATATTGTTGCTTGCCTGACTACTCTCCCTTCCACCCCCTCTCCTGTATTTTCTTTAACGTACCAGTGGTCAAAGCAAATAATGATATTATGTTTGTATGGGAGGCCCTTGAAAGCTATTCTGAGACTAGAGTCCAGAAAAACGTGATCTCTGTTTGATTCTTTGTTTAGTGGGGATTCAAATCCCAACTTAATTTAATCTTTTGATTTATCCTGCAGGTACTGCCTGATTATATTCCAATGCCACCAGTATTAGAAATGCAGGTATTATTTCTATTTATTTTTTTTCTGCTTTTAGCACTGAGAACAAAAAAGGCTTAACAAAAAGTCATTATTACTGTTACCCTCTATAATGCATCATCAGTGAATAGCTGCATCTCTGAGCTTGTACCCCATCACTTCATATTAATAACATCAGGGTTGCACAAATCTTTGTTCTGCACTTCAGCTAAAGCAACACAGCTGAATAGGACTGAAAACTTGCTCCTCTTGCTGTGAGTGGTTAAGCTGCCACCATTGCTGTAAGATGGATAGGATCCCACTTAGAAAGCTCAGGGCTTGCCAGGTATAAGGAGGAGGATGACACTGTGCAGAGGATTTAAACCAGTTCCTTTAGAGGGTGTTGTGAGATTGTGGACAAATTCCTAAGGATACATTTGTGAGGATGGGGGTTTTTTCAGTGTATATAAAATAACTTGTAGTATCATTAAAATGTGTGAGAACCCCAAGGAAAACAACCATTAAAAGGTACAGACTGAAAAGGCAAATGTAATAGCAACAAACTTGCTGTGATTTTAGTGATCCCCTTCACTGAAATATCTGGGCACCTCGTGTGCGTTCATGTGTTGAAATGAATGGGAATTCACTTTCATACCTTTATTAGCCTAACAGGCATTGTCTCTATGCCTAAACTTCCTACATATAAGATAGGGGGTCAGCATTTCCCCTTCCTGGAGTTCTTGCAGAATGAGTACAGTAAAATCAGAATATAATCAGACACCAGTTATTGTTGCTGTAGTGACATGCCAAACCCTGTGTGTGTTGTCTTGCCTTTCTGTTCCAAGGCTACTCTTTTCCATGTTTGTTTTCTGGTTTTCCTCATGTTCCCTATCTGGACCTCTGAAGTATTAAGCACTTTTATTTAATTTTTCCTCTTAGTTTCCTAAACAAGATCCAGTTCATTCTTATCCTTCAAAAAGTCACTAAAATTAAATTTTTGAAATCATATTAAATCTTTAATATTCTCCTATGGATGATAATATGCCCAAGCAGACAAGGACAGCATGCAAATCTAGTGGCATGCCTGACAAACATAATGCATTTATATTAAATCTATTGTACAGTAAGAATTTCTAACTGGCAGTGATCAGAGGAAACCATGCAATTGGATTAATAGATAATTTAGGCTGTAATCCAACAAAGCAGTTAAGCATATGCTTAATTTTAAGCATGTGTAGTATTACTTGATGTTAGTTGAGGCAAAACACGCTTAAAACTAGGCACATGCTTAAATCAGTTTTGCTGCCTCGCTGACTTACTTGGTGATGTGAACAAACAAGGTTTTTACAGCTGGAAATGCATGCAGGAGCAAAGTGTCCATTTTTCCTGTGATCATTAAAACAGCATTCCAGCTCAAGTTTCAAAGCATAATGTTTTTATAGGGGGTTACAAAACAGTGCTCACCAACTGCAGAGGTAAACAGCTTACAAATTATTTATTTTACCTGCATTCCTGGTTAAACTGAGTTAAAAATAATTAGATAACCCTGTAAAAGCTGTGACTGGTGCTGCTAATTCCACATAAAGATTTTCTCATGCAATACCTAATAAATGGAGTTATCTTTTAACAAAGGCTTTAAGGGGATTAATATACTGTACAGAAGATGCACTCTGTAACTCGGTTAAGATATTTGCTGCAGATCTGAGCTAGATCTGAAAGAAGAAAACTTCCTGAATGACCTTAGATTGTCACCCAGACTTTTTTGTACCATCTCTACCAGTTAACTTGCTTCTGATGCTTTACAGTATTTGTGGCCTTAATTGAGGGACATAACCAAACAAATTTATCATCACAGCCCATAAAAACGACAGAATTCATATGGTAGCATTCTTCATTCTCTCCAATTTGTTTCGCTGAAATCCCTGCAGCAATTTATTTGCTGAATACATGGGTTTTCCTCCTTATGAAAATTACAAATTGTTGTCAAGGTTAACGAGTTAATATTCTCATTCAATATTTATTTTATATAGGGGGAGGGGGAAGGAAGAAGTGCGACTGTTCTCACACTTTCTTCCACGGCAAAGTCTGGTTTCTTAATCAATATGACAAGGACACTGTCCTTTGGATAATACCCTGAATCATCGGGACTAAAAAATGAGCTTTATTAATCAACAGCCCCTGATTAATTATTATAAAGTGATGCTCATACATTTCTGTACATTTTAATAATTCCTGCAGAAGGCTAACAATGTCCCCAGTGATTTGAAGGCTTTGGGGTTTGAATTTTTCTAAGCAATGTCACAATAAATAGTCCAAGGGTACTACTGCTCGCTCACTAATCCAGTCTGTTTCAATCCAGCAAATGAGTAAAACCTTCTTTTTCTTATTTCCCATCTATAATTTATCATTTGCATACAAAGTAAGAAGCAAGAATCAGCAGTCTCATCAGTTTTCAAAATATCAAGGGACAACCAGGGTGATTTATAGCAGGCTACATTATCTAGATCATAAAACCAGAATATTTCTGTAAAAACAGACCTATGCAACTTCTCGATAAGAGTAACTGTCTAGTAGATAAATGTGATGAAGGTCATTAGTCTGGAGAACTTCATATAGACCTGAGTAGCCATTAGGTCCTTCTTTACACAGAAATATCCCATCCCAAAACGGCTAACAGGCATCATCTTCAAACAGCAATTTGTAGTACTAAAAATACCTCTATTTAAGGCTCTTTTAGCCATGAAAGAATATAGCCTGTGTGTTTGCTTGCTACCAGTGAGATGAAAAATATGCCACCTGTTTCTTGTGCTTTCAGTGCACTTTTGGAGACATAACCTTGCAGAAAGGAACAGATGCATTCTCTTGGTTATGAAATGATCCAGCCCCAAAAGATATGTAAGAAGGTGACCACAGCTGGCAAACATTTGTATCTTAGTTCTAAAGGGCAACATATTTCTGAGCCACAGTGCAAATGCTCAGATGGCGGTATTGCAGATTTGAAGACAAATTAATGTTAATCTATTGAAGTAATAGAAGTTTGGAAAGGGTCAGGCATAAAGCGTTATCCAGCACCAGTTCTGATATGTTTATACTTCTTACTAGTCATCTCGTAGTCTGGCTTTCTCTTCCTGTAAAATATTTGCCCAGCTCTGACAGCTCACGAGGCTGCTTTTCAAGTGCTGTGGCTGTGACGGATGATATCAGACTTCCAAAGTCGCTAGCATCCCGTGTTAGTGTTTTACAACGATGTGTTTGCATTGGAAAAACTCAGTGGCCTTTTCACAACCTTCCTGCAATGAAGGTTTTAATTACTCATCAGTGTTCATCTATACAAAGTCGAGTCCTGGGAATTTTTCACAGTGAGATGTTACAATCTATGCACAGGTAACCCACAGGTTATTTGGTTTTAGCTTCTTGATTTCTGGTTTCATTTCAGTATGTCAATAATGAGTTCTCTCTTCAATTTATTAATGTGAACCCCTGAAAAAAAAAAAAGAAATTCATTGCTTTAGGATGCTCTGCGACAAGCAGTACTCTTCTGCATTTTGCCCTCTAGAAATATGGGTTCTGATCACAGATAACTAAAATGAGATTAGGATGTTAGCTTTCTCAAGAGATAACAGCAGTCTAGGTCATAAAACTACCATATGGCAGATTTGGCAGTCTTTACAGAGGTCCATGGTTTAATTATCACAAAGACAGATTCAGTTCCCTACTTGCAAATGCCTGGGTCCTCCTGTGGCAAGGACTGGCAATGCAATTAAGGGGAAAGCTGTATTGTACTTGGCTGAAACAAGAAATGACCTTACTGTGGCCAGCGCTGTCACTTCCCAACATTTCACTCATGATTAAGCTTATCATTTCAAACAAACAACATAAAATGTCAGGTCTCTGGTCTGTTTAACATGCGGGAGGAGGGGTAGGGAGGGTAGAGAAGCATAAACTGTGACTGTATTGCATGAAGCCAAACTGGAAAGCTTTCCTTTTGAAAAGAATTTTAGAAAAGGAAGTTAACAACTGCATTAGAAAAGAGCAGTATCTCTGCAGACAGAGTTTGTCTTTCTGCTTAAGTCTTTTAGTTACTTGCATCAAATGGCTTGGTGTTCCGTTTCCAGTCTTTTGACTCGTCTTCATTCCCACAGTAGTGTGTTCTTATACCACTCCCACTTCCATACACAGTCCCTGCTGTGTTCTGGATTTCTGCTGGAGTAACTATGCTGTCACTTGTACTTCCCTGCGAGCACCATCTATTTATTATACAGTGAGTGTGCTGAAGAGCACCCAATTCTAGGAAAACCAGCATTTCATCTTATTTACATGGGTTTGAGTTGATAGAGATCTGTTTGCTCCATAGAGTGTTCTTGTCAGCACAGAAAACCAGCGTAAGGTTGATGCAGATGACTTCCATTAAGAGCAAAAACTAGGGTTCAGTGTGTAATTGAATTGTTGCTTTAAATGGTCATTTTTAAAAGACGTCCTTCTCTTTGCCTAGAGTATGCAGTGGTGTTAGTAGTAAGAGATATGACAATTGTCTTCATTGAATAGAGAAAAGTGTGTCCTCATATGTATGAACATTTTACTGAGAGCAAAGTCATTCATGTTCCTTGTTTTAAGGTAATCACACCGGCTAGTATTGCAAGACTGAAGTATCAAGTTAATTTAACTCACCCTTGCAGCTAACAAAATAATTGCTGTAGTTCTTTTGTGTGCAATCGTAGCAGTGAGAATGCCTTTTTGAAACAATCGCATTGTAGCTTGATCTTTAAGGTTTTTGAAAGGCTGACATCGCTGAGAGTGAATGATGCACATAGACCTAAATGATATGTGTGCTTCTTGTCAGCAGGATAAAAGTATTTCTGAATCCAACCAATTTTTAATAAGATGGAAAAATACTAAAATGCAGGAAATGATAAATGTTAAATACTTACTTTGTAGTGGGTGTAGAGAAAAAAATCTTTGAGTATTCAGTTAAAATGTCGCTACCAAACCTGCTGCTTATTGTGTTTAATTATGTGATGTTGTATGAGGATATCTGTGGCTATTGT